CTGAGATGCCACGGCACTCAACCCAGGGGGACAGCTTGAGGCTCCTATCTCAAAAAAAAAAAAAAAAAAAAATCCCAAACAGAAGCATAGTGGAAGAAAGGAAACCTGTGGAATCTTCTTCCTCCGGAGAGATCTAGCATTACAGAGGAGACACCTGTCTTTTCAAGGCAGGCAATGGCTGCTTTCTTTCAGAAGGAGTGGTTAAATGAGATAACTGGGTATGGGGCCAGGGTTGGGGTGGACTTAGCTTTTCCTAAATTAGGAAGGATGCTGCTTGTTTCTGTACCTTTATAATCATGCCCCGCTTCCCCAACACCCATGTCTGATGCCTGTCCAGCTGGTCCCGCTTACCGCTGTCTGAAGGTTCATAGCGGTCGATGAGTTCCAGAGCAATGTGAGGGGCACAGTTTCTTTCTTTCTGCTCCTCCCGGAGGAAATCCACAAATTCCAGCAAGGTCAGCTTCTGCCCATCAGATGAAAAGCTTTCAAACAGTTCCTGCACTTCACCACGCTTAGTCAATGCCTTATAGAAATGTACGAATTCTTCTCCCTGTAAAGTCCCAGACTGGGATGTGTCTGCTGCCTGCAAGAGAGTTTAGGAGTAAACAAACCCTTTAATAGGAAATTTTATGACCATGACTTGCACTGTACAACAGTCTTACTGACAGATACAAATATGGTTTTTTGTTTGTTTGTTTTGCAGTTTTTGGCCAGGGCCACCTCCAGTATATGGGGGGTTGGTGCCCCACTCCTTGAGCCATAGGCACGGCCCACAAACATGCTTCTATAAAACTCCCATAAACTCCTGACATTTAGTGTCACAGAAGAAATCACTTCAATAAGTAAAAATCAAGGTGGTGCAAGTGGCTCAAAGGAGTAGGGTGCTGGTCCCATATGCCAGAGGTGGTGGGTTCAAACCCAGCCTTGGCCAAAAACTGAAAAAAAAAAAAAAAAAGAAGCAAAAATCAAAATTTTAGCATACCACTAGCTGCTAGAGACAATTTTCAACTAGGAAGTTAAACCTCCCAAAGGTCCCTAAAAGCTCAAAAGATTCCTCCTATTTGCTCACATTCTAGTTGGGGTTTTCCATTGTTCTAAGTACCTGTGAAATTCGGGCCATGGACAGAGAGATCCTTGAGGTACAATATAACATATTGTTATTTACCTTTCACAGAATTATGGCTCATCTTTCCAACAAGATTAAAGGGCAAGAATCATACCCCATACTTCCCACTGAGCCTGGCATTGTACTAGGGGCGCACAATAGAGACTCAACAATTGAGTGTTGCTGATTAGGGTCAGAGGACTGACTTATGGCAAAGGGAAAATGTGACCTGGCAGGCTCCTGCAAATCCTTCCCCAGTAGATTTACCTGGAAAAGACTGAGGGCATATTCTTCGTCCAGTTCCACATTCATCAAAAGCAGTAACCTCTGAGCTTCCTGGAAACTCATCCGACCATCCTGGTTTCTGTCTCCACGCTGGAACCACTCACTCAGCCATCCAAGTCCAAGTTAAGGCAAAAAGCACTATTTGTGTGTGTTTGTGTATTCATGTTCATTTATTGACATCTCTCCCTTATCTTTGTTGCCAGTTTCTCCCCAGTACAAATACATTTTAAATATAGCTTCTAGAATAGTATTTCCAGAGCACCAATCTATCTTGTCATTGCGTAGCTTAGGTGTCTACAGAGACCTCCCTGTTGCCTGCAGAAAGAAATCCATGTTCTTTTTCTTTTTAATTTTTATTTATCTATTTATTTTTAGAGACAGAGTTTCACTTTATCACCCTCAGTAGAGTGCTGTGACATCATGGCTCACAGCAACCTCCAACTCTTGGGCTTAGGTGATTCTCTTGCTTCAGCCTCCCAAGTAGCTGGGACTACAGGCACCTACCACAAAACCTGGCTATTTTTTGTTGCAGTTTGGCCAGGGCCGGATTCAAACCCACCACCCTTGGTATATGGGGCTGGCGCCCTACCCACTGAACCACAAGC